GTGGCAACACCAATAATAACAATATTAATAACAATAATAATAATACAAACAGTAATATTATAATCGTTAGATTACAGTGGGAAAATAGAATCTATCCAATTTCAATACCAATATCGTCTACAATGGAATCATTGAAGAGACTTTTTATTGTCAAAGCTGGTATTCAATCAATTGTTTCAAACACAGGCGAAGATACCAATAATATTCTTAGATTCTACTATGATGGTCAAATAGTACCAATGGGTGTAAAAGTTGTTGATCACATTAGAGAAGATAATCGTATCACTGCTTTGTGGGAATCAAAATGGAAAACTATTCAAGTTAAAGGTTTTGAATATGAAAGTGTATTAATGAATGTTCAAGATGATACATTATTGGAGGACATTGTCAAAGCATACTTTATCAATTCCCATCCACCATATGACATAAAGAATCTTAGAATCGAGGTAAATGGTAAAGTATTGCCACTTAACTCTGATATTGGTACCAATAAGATAAAGAATGAATCATATCTCTTGATTGTACCATCACAAGATATCATTCGTGTTTTCGTCACACCATCTTGGGGCGCTGAAAAAGAAACCTATGCACTTCATAAACAAACTACAATGCTCTCGAAATTGATGGATTCTTTCTTGAAGAAACATTCATTACAACCAAAACAAATTGATTTCTATATTCCACGTTTAAATTGTTCTCTATCTGGCGATAAAAATCCCTCGCAAATGGGTATTGAAAATGAAACAGAAATCACTGCCATTCTTTTGTTAGTACGTGTAGATGCTTCCTATAATGGTACCACCGTTCCTTACTTTTTAAGCACTACTACCTCTTTTGAATCATTATTCCATCGTTTCTGTGAAAAGGTTAAAATTGAAAGAAAAACTACAGTTTTCTCCTATGAAGGTAAACGTTTATTAAATGAGCAAACCCCTGAAGGTATTTTTATGAAACCTCATGCCAGTATTACTGTAATTAATCATGGTAATAATAACAATAATAATAATAATAATAATAATAATACCAATATGATGGGTGGTGGCATTGGTTCACCATCAATATCAACATCACCACAACAACGTCAGCCAAATCATCCATTATCTCCATCACACCATCACCAACAACATCACCAACAACCATTATCACCACAACGTCAACAAATACCAAAATCGATGCAAAAATCTCATCAACAACACCAACAACAACAACAGCATCATCAACAACAACAAAATCATCATCACCATCAATCACAACATCAACACCAATTACCAAGTATTATTGAAGTTGAGGTTAAATTAGTAGGTCAAGATGCAGGCAGTTTTATTAAAATGCACACTCAAAATCCATTCCCACTCGATATCTTGATGGATAAGTTTTGTCAAGAACACAATCTCATTAAAAACCGTACTCTTTTCACTTACAAAGGCCAAAAATTAAATCCAAACGATACTCTTGCGACAATAAATTTACAAGATCAAGATATTATTCAATGCCATTTGTTAAAATAAAATTGTAAATAAAAAAGTAAAAAAAAACAAAATTAAATAAAAAAAACTAAATAAAAAAAATATATTCACAAAAAAAATTAAATTATTTAATTAGTCCAATATCCATTTTTTCCCAAGCTCTAATATTATAAACCAGTAAAGTTTTTTTTTTTTTTTTTTTTTTTTTTTGTCCATGTTTATGAATTATTGAAATAAATTTCAAAATAAAAATACAATTGTTTTCAAGAAATTATTTATTGTTTTCTCACTTTTTTTATAACTTTTAAAATTATTGCCAACCGACACAGAACATTCGCCAAGATTTTTCTTTTCATTTTTATTTTTATTTTTTTTGAATTTTTATTTTTTTTTTTTTAATTTTTTTTCTAACCGTTTTGATTGAATTTTTTTTTTTTTCATAAATTCTGACAAATATTAAAAAATTATTAAACAAAAAATGAATAAATCAATTTTATTATTAGTTTTGGTAGTTGTATCAATTATTGGTTCAATTGAATCAAAGAGAGCATTCAATGTTCGTACAGACTTAAAAAGACCATTAACTTTTAGACATTTTGATGATAAATTAAACTATGATGCTATCAATTATCAATGGTTCACACAAAGTGTTGATCACTTTAATCCAGCTAATCCATCAACTTTCCAACAAAGATATGTAATTAATGATCAATATTGGGATGGTCAAGGTCCAGTTTTTATGATGGTAATTATTATTATTATTGTTTTTTATTTTATTTGAATCAATCAAATAATTTCTGACTTTTATTTTTATATTTAAAAAAATAAATAGATCAACGGTGAAGGTCCAATGGATCTTAATACTGTCACTCAACTTCAATTTGTTGTTTGGGCTCAACAAGTTAATGCACTTCTTATTTCACTTGAACATCGTTATTATGGTGCCGTAAGTAATTTATATTTTTGGTAATAAATTAACTTTTTTTTTTTTTTTTTTCCTAATTTCTTATTTTCTTAAAAAATTTAAAATAAAAAAAAATAAAGAGTTTTGTAACAGAGGATCTTTCACTTGAAAATTTACAATGGTTAAATTCAGCACAAGCATTAGCAGATAATGCAGTTTTTAGAAATTTTGTTGCAAAAGAATATAATGTACCATCAACATCAAAATGGATTTCATTTGGTGGTAGTTATTCAGGTGCATTAACTTCATGGTTTAGAATCAAATATCCACATTTAGTTGATGCTACTGTTGCATCAAGTGCACCAGTTAACCCAGAAGTAAACTTTTATCAATATTTAGAAACCGTTCAAACTGCTTTACAAGCATCTGGACCAAATGGTAATGAATGTGTTGAAAACATTGCAATTGCAACCCAAAAGATTCAAGCACTCTTAACCCAAGAAAACTATGGTGGTGTTGATCAAATGTTTAATCTTTGTTCCCCACTCCAAACTCAAAATGATGTTGCCACTTTTATGCAATCACTTGCTGGTAATTTCATGGGTGTTGTTCAATACAATGATGAAGAACCAGGTCAAATCGATATTGATTACCTTTGTAATATCATGACTAACCAATCATCAGATCCATTAACCAACTATATCCAAATTTGGGATCAATATGCTGATGGTGAATGTGTTGATGTTTCATATGCCTCAATGATTGTTCAAAATCAAAATATTACCAATGATGAAAATGCAATTGGTGGTAGAATGTGGGTGAGTATTTATGGTTGAAAAAAAAAAAAAAAAAAAAACTTTATTAATAATAAATACTAATACTCTTTCTATTATATAATTTTATTAGTTCTATCAAACCTGTGTAGAATTTGGTTATTATCAATCAAGTGATGCACCACCTTCAAATCAACCATTTGGTAATTTATTCCCATTCCAACCATATCAAATTCAACAATGTGCAGATTCATTTGGTATTCAAAATATGTACCCAAATGTCAATTGGACAATCACTGAATATGGTGGCCTTAACCCAGAACCATCATCAGTTGAAAATACTTTATATGTAAATGGTTCAAATGATGAATGGCACAATCTTGCAATTTTACCAGGTAATCCAAATGCTAAAAATACTTTATACATTAATGGTACCAGTCATTGTGCTGATATGATGATTCCAACTTCAGTATCACCATCAACCCTTGCCCCAGCCCAACAAGTTATTTTCCAATTCATTCAATCTCAAATTTAAATAATTCTTGAAAAAAAATAAAATTTAAATCAATTGATTAAATAAAAATGAAAAAAAAAATAGTACAGTAATCGATTTGTGCACAGTAATTAAATTTTTAAAAATAGCTATATGACGCATCAATTGGGCAACTTGGTAATTTTGTATTTTTTTTTTAAAAAAATTTTAAAAATAGCAACCTGAAATACAAAGACTTTTTTTTACCAAAAATTCAAGATTTTTTTATTTCTATTTTTTTTTTTTTATAAAATTTTTTTTTATTTTTTTTTTTTTTTTTTATTTCAAAACATAAGAACAACCATGACAAATGATATTTTTTTTATTTTAATTATTTTGTTTATTTGTTATATAACAAATAATTCGAATAAAAAAAACTTTGATGATCAATTATTAGTAGCAATAAAGAAAAAGAAATTGGGTTTTATGATTGTATGCATTTGAAATTTTTGTTTATTTTCTTTTTTTCTTTTAATTTTATTAATTATTTATTTTTAATTTTCTCTTATACAGAATATGTCTGTAAGAGCATTATTAGGCCAATTTACAATATACAATAAATTATTTTTTTCAGTGGCATACTTCAAAGACCCAACAAAACCTAAAGCAACTTTACATTCATTTGGAATGTTTGGATATTGGATTTTCAGTTAATAGATTTCTTAATTATAATAGTAATACTATATACTATAGCAAATAAAGTAAATAAAAAGAGAACCTTTTTATTAGTCGTTCAAGATAATAAAAAAATAGCTATTTCAACAAATATCAACTTTTGGAGTTTAAAAGAAAAAATCTCCTCACAATTTAATATAAAAATAAACTTGAAGACATAATTTATTATATTTAATTAAAATATTTAATTAAGGTTTGGACATATATTGTTTAATCATTTATTTCTTATGTCAATTTTTTTCCAAGATGATTTTGAGTTAGTTTGGTGAATTTAAAAAAGTGAATACAACTGAATCGAGATATTTTAATTTTTTTGAATAAACCTGTCTCTCCCACTAACGTGGAACCACTACGTCAATAATTATTATAATAATAGTAGATGGGTGTTGGCTATTATTTTATTTTTTTTGAATAAACCTGTCTATCCCATCAGCGTGAAACTTCGTTAAGCCCTGTTGTGGATGATATGATTTTATTGGATGGGGTAGGGTTATGATTTATTGGATGGGGGAGGTTGTGATATCGGAAGGAGACAGGTTTTTTTACCCACGAAAAGAACGCAAGGTCTATCGGCGGTGTTAAATATATTATCTTTGTTGTTCGATCTCAGGGTGTCGAACTCGCGCCCCTGATGGGCATCCGTGAAAATTCGACACCTGCAGGGTTCGAACCTGCGCCTCCGAAGAGAACGCCTTAGCAGGGCGCCGCATTAACCACTTTGCTAAGGTGTCTTTTTTATGAAATGATGTATTGAACTGGTATAAACTATATTTTAAAAAATTTTTTTAAAAAAAAATTATATTTAAAATTGTGGCCTTGGTTCAAGTCTTAGTCATACCACGAATTAACGTGGTCACAGAAAAAAAAATTAAAATTAAAATAATTAATAAATAAAAACTAGATTCAAACACATCCAATTGGATGAGGTTATTAAAAAAAAAAAAAAGTATTTAAAATTGAATTTCAATTTAAAAAAAAAAAAATATATATTCAAAGGTTTAATAAGATAAGGTTAGATAAGGTAACTTGAGATCGAATATTCCCTTTTGTATTGAGTTCTTTACAAAACCATAGAAATTTCATTTGTTTTGATAAATTTAAAATAAAAAAAAATAGGTATAAAAAATTGATAGCTATAAAATATTTTTATTTTTCTAATAAATTCAAAACTGAATGGCATGGTTTGCAAACTTTTTCATTTTCGGTACTTGTATGTCTCCAACATCTAGGACATTTAAATTTATCGCTAGTTTTTAATAAAACTTCAACACGACCAACTTGTTTAGTATTATTTGAAATTATAGTGTTGAAAATAAATTCACCATTTGAATTTGGTTCAATTTGTTGTTGTTGTTCTTCTTTTTCAAAGGTATTAAGTTTATTTAAAACAACTTTTGAAACACAGAAAATATCATCCAATTGTGAATTGATAGCAAATAAATCATCATAGAATGGAGCAGATTCATCGTTTGTAACTTTTAATTCCAATACAGCTTCATCTGGTCTACCAATAACACCTTGAGATCTCATTGATTGTAAAACTTTATTTACGACATCACGAACAGCAATAATGTTTGTAAATTGATTATAAATTGCAAGGTTTTCATATTCAGATGGTAATAAATTCCAACCTTGAGCAAATATAGAATTTTCAATTAAATTTTTATCTAAACCTTTACCATTGTTTTTAAATTGATTTTGATGAAGGAAAACATCTTCTGATGTATGAACTGTAATTGGAGCCAATGAAACATTCATTATCTCTAATATTTTGAAAAGTACAGTTTGAGTACTTCTTCTTGAATGACTATTTGGTGAATCAGCATAGAGATGTCTCTTGATAACATCGAAATAGAATGAAGAGATTTCAATTGAGAAATTTATAATTTCATTTTGAACTTTTTGGAATTGGTATTGATCATAATGACGAGTCACCGATTCTTGAAGTTTATAGACTTTATGGAGTGCATATTTATCCAATGGTGATAAATTTTCATATGGTACTGAATGAATTGTTGGATCGAAATCAAAATTTGAAGCCAACATAAATCTAAGAGTATTTCTAATTTTTTTAATAACATCTAAAATTCTAATCAAAATGTTTGGGCCAATTGAAATATCCTTTGAATAATCAGATGAAGCAACCCAAGTTCTTAAAAGATCAACACCATATGGTGGATTTTGAACTTTATTTGGACCACCTTTAATAACAGTTGATGGTACCATGGTATTACCGATTGATTTGGACATTTTAATACCATTTTCATCCAAAAGGAAACCATGAGTAACTACATTTTTGTAGGGTTCAATATCTCTTACGCAAACACTAGTCAAAAGAGATGATTGGAACCAACCACGATGTTGATCACTACCCTCCAAATAGATATCAGCTTTACCGGTATCTTTATCGATGATACCACGATCAATTAATACACCTCTCCAAGATGTACCACTGTCGAACCAAACATCCATAGTATCCATGCCTTTTACAAAGTTTTCATGTTGATCTCTATAGGATGGTGGTAATAATTGTTCAGATGACATTTCAAACCAACAATCAGATCCAAATTTACTAAACATTTCCTTGATGTGATTGATTGTTTCGTCATTTAATAATGGTTCATTGGTTTTAACATTGTAAAGCACTGGAATTGGACAACCCCATACACGTTGTCTAGATATACACCAATCAGTTCTTTTACCCACCATACTTGACAATCTATTTGTACCAGATGATGGTACCATATTAACGTTTCCAATAGCTTTGAGAGCCGTTTTTTGAATATTTTTTAAGTCAACAAACCATTGAAGTGTAGTACGAATTATAATTGGTTTCTTTGTTCTCCAATCATATGGATATTTATGAATATAATTCTCTTGGTGAATTAATGATCCAAGTTTTACAAGATCATTAATAACTGCTTCATTACCATCGCCCAATACTTCAAGTCCAACAAATTTCTCACCAACTTCATCAGTGAATAAACCTAAATCATTTACTGGTGATAGAACTTTAATCTCTGGATATTGTTGGCAAATTTGGAAATCCTCAACACCATGACCTGGTGCAGTATGAACCAAACCTGTACCTGATCCTTCAATGACATGTTCACCAGTTATAATTGGTGATTCTCTATCATATTGTGGATGGTTTGTAATGGTACCTTTTAATTGTTCACCTTTAAACTCTAAAATCACCTTTAACTCTCCAATAGCAAATGATTTTGTTAATGATTCTAATCTTTCTTTTGAAATTATAAACAATTCATCTTTATATAACTCATGTTCGATTGGTTTAACTAAAACATAATCCATTTCACTGTTAACACAGATAGCTTGATTTGCTGGTATAGTCCAAGGGGTGGTTGTCCAAATGATTGCTGAAATTTTTTCATTTATTGGTAAATTTTGGTTCTTTAGATGAGTGGATAATGATTTGACATTAAATTTAACGAAAATTGATTTACTTATATGATTATCATTGTATTCCAACTCTGCATCGGCTAAAGCTGTTCTTGAAGATGGTGACCAATGTACTGGTTTAACACCTCTATAGATATAACCTTTATTATACATATCGTAAAAGGTTTGAATTTGTTCAACCTCATAACCATGATCTAATGTCTTGTATGGATTCTCCCAATCTCCTAATATACCCAACTCTTGGAATCCTTTTGATTGTTTTTCAATCTCTTTTCTTGCAAAATCACCTGCTATCTTTCTAATGTCTGATGGTTTCATATCAGATGATTTCTTTAATTTCTTAAAGGCTTGTTGTTCAATTGGTAAACCATGACAATCCCAACCTGGAATATAATTTACTTTAAATCCTCTTAAAACTTTATATCTATTGACAATATCTTTTAAAATTTTGTTTAATGCATGTCCCATATGTAAATCACCATTTGCATATGGTGGCCCATCATGAGATACCCAACTTTCACCTTTATTATTTTCTAACTAAAAGAAAATAAAAAATAAAAAAATAAAAAATGGATAAAAAAATTAATTTTTTTTTTTTTTTTTTTTTTTTTTTTTTTTTTTTTTTTTTTTTTAAAAAAAAAAACTTTGACACCTACTTGCCATTTATAAAGTTTATATGGATCTTTTAATAATGTTGGTTCTCTTGTTGCGGCATTTGCTTTCATTGAAAATGTTGTTTTTGGTAAATTTAATGTATGTGCAAATGAATGATTAGAATCAACCATTGATTCTTCATTATTTGGTTTTGTTCCAAATGTCCTTTTATAGTTATTGAATGAATTAACAATAGCCCTTTTATTAAAAAAAGAGATATTATTTAATGATATCATCCTTTTTTTAAAATAACTCGTTATTTTTTGAAAAGAAAAAAAAAATAAATGAAAAAAAATGAACAAAAAATTAAAAAAAAAATGAAAAAAAATTGGAAAATAAAAGTAAAAAAATCAAAACCAAAAAAAAAAAAATAAAAAAATTAATAAATAACAAACGAAAATCATACGGGTAATCAGAAAAAAAAAAAAATCTAGATTTTTTTTACATTTTTTTTTTTTTTGTCAAAAAAAATTGAATATTTTTTTTTTTTTTTATTTTTACACTATTAAAATTTTTTTTTTTTTTTCAATAATCTTTATCATATAATTCTTGATTATATAATAATTTTAAATGATGAATTTTACCGGTATAATCTGATAAAATTGAAGATAGTTGACCATAATTATCAACATTGAATAAAATGTTTGAAGTTGAGATTGAACCTAATGGGAAAGCTACAACGATTGCTGAAGATTCAATATCCCAAAGTATTGAATGTTTTTCATAGGAAGCAGAGAATAAATATTTACCATTTGGAGAGAATGATAAACCATGAACTTGAAAAACATGACTTTTCAATGTTTTCCAATAGTTGAAATTTGGTTTAATATTGTACAATTCAATATCACCACTTGCCAAACAGAGTGCAAAATGATCTTTACTCCATGCCAATGATGTAATGGTTTGGGTTGTATTGGATCTTAATACAACCGAATATTTTGAGGGTGCATTCATTCTAAGAATGTTGTAATAACTCTTTAAATCTCTTGTTAACAATAAATCACCTGTTGAATTGAACTTACATTCATTTAATGAACCACAAAGACGTTCATTAAAAACTTCATATTTTTTATAAATATTATAAACAACGAGTCTACCAGTTTTACTTGTAAATGCAATATCACCATTACCAGTTGGATTCACTGAGAAATGTGTTATCATCTCTGATTGTTGCTGATTTTTTTCAACTGGTGTTGTTATTGGATTGTTGATATTTTCTGGATTTTTTAAATTCAATTGTAAATATTCTTTAAAAACAATTGGTGTAGTATTGGTCGAAATTGATGCTTCATCTGGTAAACCATTTTCATCTAAAAATTGTTGGAAATCTCTAATGACTGCGACTCTACCATCTGATAATAAAATAATAAAAGTTTTTTCATCTGCTAAAAGTTCAAATTGTGGTGAATGAATATTTAATGCCATTTTGAGTGAGAGTAAATCATTTTTAGTGAAATGATTCCAAATTCTAATGGATTTATCTTCAGAAGCTGATACGAGTATATCTTGAGATTTTATATACTGTAGATATGAAACAGCTTTTCTGTGACCTTGATGAACTTGATTATTGTTTTGACCTAATTTTGGATCCCAAATTTTTATAAATTTATCAGTGGCACCAGTAATAATACGAAGTTTTTCACTATTTGGATGA